TAGTAGCTGAAGGGATAAATCTTAATGTAAGAAATCAATACCAAATGAGGGGATGCTAAACAGAATGTAATGAAATTAAGAGGAAGGTTAAAACTGCTACATGCACACCTTCTCCTTTATCTACAGCTGTTGTTTATAAAAGGGTATTTCCCAGCTCTTTAGTGTATATTGGAAGGCAAAGTCTCTGAATATTTTTTGTAAAATGAACATCTCCAGCAAAGTTTAGCAAAACTAGGCTGGGGAAAGCAGGGTTTCTGCCGAAGGCACTGACTATGAGGAGGGACCTGAATCATCCCCCCGGCCCCCCAGAAGTCTTTGTAACAGCAGGGGAAGTCTTGTGCTGCCCCTTCCCAGCTGTAGGTGTCAAGCGAAGGAGTGCCACACCAAGCAGAGTCCGTGGAGTAGGGCTCCCCTTCTGGAGAGCATTTGCCAGAGCAAACACAGCCCTGTACCCATGATGTACGTAAGCGGGTGGGAGAGAGTGAAGAGGACGGCAGGGTCAGCTCCCAGGGAGCCCGGCCATCCCCTGCCGCCACCACAGGGGAACTGACACTGCTACAGCAGCAGCAACAGCCACAGCAGTGGCAGCAGTAGCCCGGAAAAGTAAACCTGCCCTTCCCCGTGTTCCCCACTGCGCCAGTCTACAGGCATCACAATCCTCCCATGCCCAATGCCCGCTTCATGCCTCAGGCACTCAGTGAGCTCACTACACCTCTGAATTTTGGATTGCTGCTGTATACAGGATTAGCACAAATCTGCTTGGCTGAGGACAAGTCCAAATCCATCTCATAATCTTATAGTCCATGGACACATCCTAGAGAGATAGGCAGTCATGTTACAACCTCAGCTAGTACATCCATCAACTCCTTCTGTGATTTTTGTGACAGATTTCATTATATTTTAGAGAAGGGTGGAAGGAAAATAGAGAGGAGAAAAAGCAAGATCTTCAGGTTATATCTCCCCTTTCACTTAGACTCTGTTGTTCTCCAAGGCTTCTTCGACTGCCTGAGCATACGTCTATGTGAGTGTTGAACAGCAATTTACATCTCTGCACCTGATAACGGGTGGTTACTGGATACTTTTGAGAGGTGCGATCCCGTTCACATTAATTCTCAGAGACGTTCCCTTATTATACGTCTCCTGCTAGCTGTTGGTACGTTACATAGTATGCAAGCCAAGCTCCAAGTCCCCACCATCCGAAAGGTGATATTTTCATTTAAATAAAAAGTTGCACTATTACTATTGTATATCCTGTGCGATATGTAGAGATGAGACTGTTTCTAAAGAAACATTACTCCGGCATGGTCAGAGAAAGCAATTCTCTTTTCAGTGAGTATATGCTAAAGCAATTTCCCTTTAGTACTGCAACAGTACTCTAGGAATAGTAAAAAAAAAAAAACCCTGTATTTCAGATTCTGTGAGGGTATAAAATAGATGAAATAAAAAATTGCTGTTGAACTGTTGATTCAGAACAAAAAGTTATAAAGGACAAAATGGAAAAATATGTAGTGTTTTGTAGCAAAACAAAGAAAATGAAATTGCTCAGGAACAAATGCCATATCAGACTGAATGAGATTGTCTGTGAACAATTCATGGAAAAAGGAAAAATTCATGAAAGAAGGAAATCCAAAGAAACTGTTCAGAGCCTAGTGTCCTCTCTTGCATGTAGGCACCAGCAGGCACACTTTGAAAGGAGAAGCCAATATTAAAAAATAGAATTTATATGTTGATATTTATTGTATATATATTATATATTGGTAAGAGCACTCACCTATGAAATGGAAATGGAAAACCTGGGTTTTAGGTTGTCCTCACATGGGCCTCCATGGATTTCAGTTTTAGACTCTGGCATATAAAATCTGCACATAAAATCTTTGGCACACAAGGTCATTTTCAGTGCTCAGTTCCTCATGCAAAATAGTTTGATTGGACCAAAGGACAATTAACAAAATGGAAAAACCTCAAACTTTATAATTATAGTGGCATTAATATAATTCATTAATTCCATCTTTTTCCAGAATGCTGCACAAGGCCAATACAGAATAGTACTAGAAAGATTGACAAATACTAATAAGAAACACAAAAGGACCCAAATTAAGAATCCCTTGAGAGAATAAGTTCAGGTGGATGACCATTTAAAAAAGCTTAGATACCTCCAAGCATAAAATCTTATAGGGACTATCAAGTGAAATTGGGTTTTGTGCATTAAAATCATACTCTCGTTTTAAAATTCCATTAAAATCCAGAAAAAGCTTTAAGTAGAGGAGAACATTTCTCTCAGTGTGCAGTGGAGCAGCATCTTTTTCAAAGGTTCCTACTTCCAGTATTTCTTCCAATAGTATAATTTACATTTAGATAGCACTTTTCATCTTGAAAAATCCCAGATCACTTTACAAACTACAGAGTATATTAAGGAATTGCTTTATTTGGCATTGAAGTACATTTGGATTGCAGCCCCCTCTAATGTGTACTTTACACAACCCTTCAGACAGCAGGAAAATAAGGATACCTTCTCTAACTTAAACCAGAGTCCAGTCCAGCCCTTTCCAAACACCAAAAGGGATTTTAGGACAGCAGAATATAAATTACCTAAATTTGGCTGAAACAATGGGGTTATTTTTCATAGTTTCATAGTTTCTAGGGTCGGAAGGGA